CAAGAATGGCCGCAGCGTATAAAATCAATTTAAAACAGCTTCAATTTAAAAATATTATAAAATTTAATAAAACTCTCTTTATTTATCAATTATCCTTGGAATTAACTTCTAAATCGCCATTGTATATGCAGTAAAAAAATGTTGAATTGAACGATAATTCCATTTGACAAGTATGCTATCTAATTTTTCAGTGCGATAGTATCGATCTTTTGAATTCGTAAAAAGCTTTCATTGAAAAAAATGTATTTCAAAATATATTGTTTTTGGTTAAAGTATAAACAGCATTGAAGGTTGTAATTTTTTAAATGACAATAGTGTTGAAAATGAGAACACATAGGTGGCAGTAAGAAAACTGACAAAGAGACGCTTAGAGATCGCTTGCATTGGTGTATCCGCGTCTCAATGGTGGTCATTTTGATTATTTTGGTATTTACTCGATTATTTGTGGCTTATTACTGAATGGAAATTGGGTACATAATTAGCCCCATATATTTTGTTTTCATTGACGGTTCTCCAGATAGAAAGGACACATGGGTGACGTTTGGGTTATGTTCTGACATTTTTTAATTAGAAATTAATTATGGTGAAAATTATTACGGCGAAATTTGTATTATTTCATTCTATATAATGATATCGTGGACGTATTAGCGAGAAAAGTGTTCGTTTATATTACATCTATACTTGCACATTTTGAAAGGCGGGCTTTAACCTCAAAATGAGTTACAACAAAAAAGTCTCATATTTTTACAATCCAGATGTCGGGAATTTTCATTATGGGCCGGGACATCCCATGAAACCTCACAGACTCGCTGTAATTCACAGTTTGGTACTCAATTATGGTTTACACAAAAAGATGCAGATTTACCGCCCTTATCGTGCGAGCACCCATGACATGTGTCGTTTTCATTCTGACGAATATGTGGAATTTCTGCAAAGAGTGACTCCACAGAATCTACAAGGATATACTAAGTATTTGAGTCACTTTAACGTGGGCGATGATTGTCCTGTTTTTGAGGGATTATTTGATTTTTGCTCCATGTACACTGGTGCTTCCTTGGAGGGTGCTACAAAACTGAACAACAATTGCTGTGACATTGCCATTAATTGGAGTGGAGGACTGCATCATGCGAAGAAATTTGAAGCCTCTGGTTTTTGTTACATCAATGATATTGTGATAGCAGTCTTAGAACTATTAAAATACCATGCCAGAGTACTCTACATAGATATCGATGTCCACCATGGTGATGGAGTTCAGGAAGCATTTTATCTCACAGACAGAGTGATGACTGTGTCCTTCCACAAATATGGAAACTATTTCTTTCCTGGCACTGGAGATATGTATGAAATAGGAGCAGAAAGTGGAAGATATTATTCTGTCAATGTTCCTTTAAAGGAAGGCATTGATGATGCATCTTATGTTCAAGTATTCAAACCAGTTATATCTCATGTAATGGAGTTCTTCCAACCAACTGCTATAGTCTTGCAATGTGGTGCAGATTCTCTAGCAAATGATCGTCTTGGTTGCTTCAGCTTAAGTACAAAAGGACATGGAGAATGTGTGAAGTTTGTGAGGGATTTAAATGTACCATTACTCACTGTTGGTGGAGGAGGTTACACATTGCGCAATGTGGCACGTTGTTGGACTTATGAAACTTCTTTGCTTGTTGATGAACATATTAGTAATGAGCTACCATACACAGAATACTTAGAATACTTTGCACCAGACTTTACACTACATCCAGATGTTGTAACGAGACAAGACAATGCAAACAGTAAACAGTATCTAGAAGCTATTACAAGGCACGTGTATGATAACTTGAAAATGATACAACATTCTCCAAGTGTTCAAATGCAAGATGTTCCTTGTGATGCACTACCACCAGAGGAAGAGAGACAGCCTGAACCTGATCCAGACTCTAGGCAAAATGTACAAGATACTGATAAGATAGTTGAACCAGCAAATGAGTATTATGCTGGAGAAAAAGATCAGGATAAGATGGATGTGAGTGAATCGTGATAAAGGGATGAATATATGAAACATTTTCAAACAGAACTGACATAATGCTGGGAAAGTGATGTATGTGCACATTTGCACAGGTATAGAACTGCTGAAAACTAATTTCTCCTTTTACATTAATGATTGTAAATATATGCAAACTGTAAATATCTTCGAATTTATTAAAGTGATTTCTTACTTAATTTAAACTGAATTATTATATGTATGTATTGATCTCCTATCATATGAGAATTTAACAAGTCTAGGTTTTAAATAGTCATTAGGCAAGTTTATTGTTTTATGTCAGACAGCATATTGTCTACAATGGTACAACAATGACGATGAGGATGATATTAATAGTAGTAATAGTATTAATAGCAGTAATAATAATAATAATAATAGTAATAATAATAAGAGCAATAACGATAACGTTTTTATCTCTGTTTCGGGGCTATCTTGCTATATCACAGAGAACTTAATCCTTAATGTATGTATGTATATATCATTGTGTGTGCGCGTGCGCGCGCGCACGTGTGTTCGTTTGTTTCTTGCCATATTTAGAAGGTAGAGCATTCAAACGATGTTTTTTTTTTCCTCCGTCTCTAATAGATTTGCTGCACGGGCTTCCGATAGTATACATACTAAAAAATGTGACTAATACACAATAAATTAGGTCTTTCTTTCGTTTTTTCTTCTTCATTAAATTAAGGCGCTTCGTTCTGTACATATTCTTTCGCTTTTTTTCGTAAAACTTTACAAAAGTTTTCTCGAAAAATAATACACACAAGTACAAAAATACTTACAGTACAAGAGGAACGGAAATATCGTATTTCGACGCTCGTATTTTTTTTTTGCTTACAAGACAGAAAATGCAAGACCACGATAGATGAGCGTGAGTAGAGAGAAATCAATCTTCTTTTTGCATGTATGTAATTATAATAACACGTTGGCTTTGCCAAAGAGGCACTGAAAACATACAATATTATATATACTTTCACGGTAGACAAAGTGGACTCGGTATAAAGCATTCTTTTCTCTCTCTTTCTCCTTGCAGAGGTATACCTCTTTCTTTCTTTTCTTTAATATATATCCCTGCCTCTATTTCTTTGCTCCGGTTCTTAACACATATATATAATATATGCAATGTATATTTAAATTCAGTCTCATAGTAAAAAAAAGCAATTCCATTTGGTGTTAGGTTATGTCCCGTCGAATTTCACTCGCGATTATCACGTGTATATAGATAAGTGTAATATAGGCGGTAGTAGTATTAGAGTAGGTAGGCAGTGCTATAAAATCCAGCGATCCTTGGAAATCCAGAAAAAAGAAAAACAAGAGAAAAAAAAAGAAGAGTCCTTGGGAAAACCAAGTTTTCCCTTCGCCCCTGTAGAATTTTTCTTTTCTTCGGTTGACTAGATGATCTTGTTCCTTGATCTACATTCTCAATGGTGGATGGAGAGGGAGAACCTGCCTCGAGGCGATAATGTACCGAAATTTACGTCTCGAAGTGTTTGTAAATACTAGTCACGTACGTCATGACTTGTTGCCAATCAGGTCGCTCCAATTGACACATTTCACCTATATTCTGTGAATGAAAAAAAACTACTATTAATATTTTCCACTCAACGACCCTCTTGAGTAAAATATTTATGAGCGCAACTTGACTACAGATACTCTGACAAGAAGCATCAGTCAGGTCTACTTTGACTAACTGCCCAAGTGGGGGGACCTCGTTCCGGTGAAGTGAGGTGGGAATGTAAATATAATCATGTCCTAAAGCCGCTTCCAATGCGAATATACATGTATTCACCCGCACGGGCATCCATAGACCGTACAGACAAAAAAAAAAAAGATATGGTCACATTCCTTGAAATTCTACCTATAAAATGAGCCTTTTTGCAGGATGGAGAGCAGGGTGCGTGGTTCGCTTACTTAAAACAAGGGTATATCAGTCCCTTTCCAAGTTCCTTGTGATGCTAATATTACACTCTCCATCCTGGAAAAGGGCTCATGTTATAGGTAGAATTTCAAGGAATGTGACCATATCTTTATTTTTTAATTTGAACACCTCTAGCCCATCATAGAGAAATTTACAAAATAAAAATTTATTTATAATTTTCAGTACTATAACATCAATTTTTCAAATAACAATAATATTATTACAATAGGGCCATCCTTCTAAATTAAAACGAAAAAAAGTGAGCTCAATTCGACTAATAGTTTCCGAGATAAAAATTGATAAGCACAGCCTGTTTTCTTAAAAATGGGCAAAAATTGCCAAATTTAAACGTACGTATTTTTTAAACAAATTCGAAATCAGCTAAATGATGACTCAAACTCCCCCTAATTTCATGTGAACTACATTATATTTTATTTGGAACAAAATCCCCGATGTCGATGTCAAAAAGTGATCGATTTCGCGTGGAATCACTCTGGGGCATTCAATGCGAGGTGGGCGCAAAGAGGTGCCCGCAATGCATGGAAAGACCATATAAAAATTCGTGCGCTTGCATCGCACTGAAAACGACCTAACTCGATGTGAAAAATGTTACACTACCCAGGGAACACTTTATTTATGCGTAACTTACCAATGTAGTAGGTATCCCGACGCTCTCAGCGGCGGAAAACGCAATGGAAAAGTTTCGCCGTTTCTCCACCGGCGTCAACGTGTCGTATGGTACCTTGTGTGGCAAATAGGAATGAAGGATAGCACAGAGCGCCAGACCATCGTTCCACGAGCTACTGAAATTCGTGATGTCAATATTCCGGTAGCCAAGCGTCTTGTTTTGACACCACTTGAGCAACGCATTCCGTTTTGAGCCGCCATTTTTAATTAATCCGCACAGAGGATCTTTCCTTTCTGATAAATCTGTGACGCTGTTGCGGCGCACGAAGTCGATCGCTTTGGCGTTCAGCGCGGCTGAGTCCAGCAGCTCTCCAGGGCTCAACACAACCGGCACTGTTGACTTTGTTTCTACATTGATCATTATTGAAAGCTTTTATAACATCTAAATGTCTTAGCGATGAGTTGATATTGTGTCAAACACAGTGTGCAAAGAGTTAATCGAAGGAATTTAAAAATAATCTTATTTCGAAGCAGGTAGTATTTTGTGCTGAGATATGATAATAAGACCGGTATTTGAAGATTGACGGATGAAAATGTTGTTAATTATTGTTTAAATATACAATAAATTACCTGATAAAGGTTTTCTCGTGATTGCGGCTTGAGTTTTATTATTGTTCGTTGTGTTCGCCGTGCAGATTAGGTTATTTATCTGCTGTTGATCTCTCAGTGGAGCTTTTAGTGTCATTATGTCGTTCGTGCCGATGGAATTGAGAGATGACGTAGAACTGCTACGACTTCCAGGACCTAAAATGAAAAATTCTTACATCGTCGTTGCGTAGAAAGGTTATGTAGGATTGTTTAACCCTTTAACGCTCATGCCTATGTCTTACACGTGCACAACTAATCCTCGAAAAAGTGCAATTCTTTAAAATTATTTTCTTTCATTTTCCACATTGCGCTATCTTTTCTATTCTATGACAAAAATGTAAATTACAGCATTAAAAATAAATGGGAAACTTGTTCCTACTCGCTTAGGAAATAATTTAAAAAAAAAAAATGAAATTGATCATTTTGGCACATCAAGTTGAGAAAAATGTGAGCGTTAAGGGGTTAAAGAGTTCTACATATTTCATACCCGCTTTTGCTTGTTTTGTAGCATTCTCAATACTCTCTATTAAACATTTCACGGAAAGCCTCGAATCTTGGCGGGAAATGTTGGCTTTACGACGAGCTGCGATTTCTTGTTGAACGCTGGTCAACACGCACTGTTGAGTTTCCGTGGGCGTGCTAGATGACCTCTGCTGTGGTTGTTGTACCTTTTGGTTAGCTGCAAAGAACAAATAAAGATTGTAAAATACTGTTTTTCGGCTAATGTAACCACAAAACAAAAAATAAAAGCAATAAGCGCTATGTTTACATATAAAAGAAAAGCGTAACAAATATAATCAATGAGAAAAACTTTGATTACATTTTTTCTAACCTGTAGTGAGAAGACCCACTAGTACACGCATACAAACACGCACGCTCGCACCTACTTACTTACTCCAGTGTCAAAAGTACAGGCTGACAAAGAGATAAAAACATAAAAGCAAAATTCCAGTGGGTGGAGACAAAAACTATAGAAAATCAAAGTAAGCTGGTATTATAACGTAACGATTAATCCAAATAACGTGTGACAGGTGAAAAATATAGTGGGGCCTAGAAGAGACATATCTGAGACTAGCAACAAGAAGGGTGTATTACAAAAGTGTTTCAACAATATCTTTTGCTAGAGTAAGAAACCAGGACAGACAATGAGGAGGTGTTGAACTCTGCAAAAATACAAGCAATCACGTTTCCACACTACTTTTTCTTTGTCTCATATTGTACCTATTTGACGTCCTGATCTCAGTTCCACATCTTCTACGATTGTCTCAAATTTCTCTCTCAACGACGATGTCCTCCCTACCAGAGATTTATCCTTCGCTGTTGATTCACTACCATTCTGACCTATTTTAGAATCTGAATTATCACTTTCGCTTTTTAACATTTCACTATTCAATGACTTTTTTCCCTCTGTAACTATAGAACTTGGCTCTGATTGAGATAGGTTCATGTTCAAGAATTTAAGACGTTTCAGTCTGTTCATCTCACAAAGGGTCAAGTTTTTTCTGGTTTCCTGTATGTTGTCAAGTTTCATTGTTTTACTGAAGGCCCTTTGTGTTGATGTAGAATCTAATACTTTTGAATATGAATTCAAAGGTTCCTTTGGTAAGTGTCTTGAAGTGATTGGTGCCACTGGAATATCAATAGGAGATTTAAGCAAATTTTCTAAAGAAGAGAGAATAGGAAATGTACCGTGCTTCTCTGTGTAACTGTCCACATTCTTCTCGCTTTTGTCCCTTCTAGAAGTTGTGTACGTGTTCTCTGTGTTCTCTTTTTTTATAAAATCGAACTCATCTAACTTCTTGGACAAATAAGATTCAATTGGAACACTCTTTGGTCTCAAAGACACATCATTTGTATTTTTGTATTGTATTGCACTTTTGTTGTCATAATCACTGATCAGTTCCCTCTTCTTTTTTACTTTCTTCACATTATTACTGTCCAGATTATCAAAGGAGCAGGTACGTAGATTCAGATTATCCAAAGAGGTGACAAAACATTTGTTTTGTAAAGCAGAATTGAAAACGTTTTGATTTTGAGTTGTATCTAATAGGGAATCCACGATTTCACTACCAGATATGGATTCACTTTTTTTTACAAATAATCTGCGCTTTTTGTTGAGAAAGCAATCATTCTTTTCTTCATATTCTTTGGGCAACTGTGAAAGCAAGGAATTCTCTTTGTCCATTGAATCAAGTACAAATTCATCATCTACTTTGGATTCATTTACATGTTGAAATTCTTGAAAATTTTCTGTATTTACAGAATTATTAATTACTTCAGTACACTTCTGTAATACCTTTCTCATTTCTGGATCCACTTCAAATTTTAAATCATTCATCACATTATTCACCCCAGAATATATGTAATTCCTAGGAACAAAAAACCGACTGTTCGAAATTTCAATACCATATGAGTCTACGCCCATATTTTGAATGCCTTTTATGTCCTTTAACAAAGAAGATTTCACAACTGCACTGTCTTCTAAAGCAGAGGCATTTGATAAGTACAATTTTGGATAATCTTCAGTCATCTTGAAAAATTTATCTGAATCTGTCCTTCTAAGGTAAATTTCAGTATTCAATGCTTTCTCATCAGAATCGACGGATTCTATGGATGAACGTCTGGCTAAAAAATAGTGGTCTTCAAAATTGTCAACAGATTTCAATACATTGTCAGTCTGATCTAATTTTAATACATCATCGGACTGATCTAATTTTAAAATATCGTGGTCAAAAGATGGACAAAGCTCGACCTCTTTTCTAGAAATTAGTTGATTGCTCAGATCTAGAGACTCTCTAGAACACGACACTTCACTGTTATCAGATTCTACATCGTCTTCAGGACTCAATTTTAACTCCTCTTTATCTAAACCAGACTCAACGAGGTTTCTAGGTTTCAAGAGGTTAGTTTTTGAGATGTCTTTTTTGAATTCACGCCGCTTCTTAATAATGGTACGGCCGCGTTTCAAGATATTGCTTGCGGGCTTGCGAGAATTTCCATTACCTGTAGTGCTGCCTGGCATCCAAATGAAATTGAAAAAAAAAAAAGAAAAAAAAAGAAAAAGAACAATATGTATTGTATTAATCATAGTTCTAATCCTTGTCGATTCGTGAAAACATTTAACAATACATTCTGATAAACTTTCCCTAATTCATCGTGACAACTGAGAGGTTATATCGTTCCGTGTTTAGTAATAACAATAAAAGTGTACACAAAGTGGGTGGTCCTAAAAGTATTCTACTTACCTTTATTCAGTTTGTCAAGCTGCGCCTCCAGAGCTCTTAATTTATCCCTCTGTGCCTTGTTCTCCATCACAACTCTCTCTAGCTCACTTTGAGCCTCTGTCTTGAAATCATTTGCCACTCGTACGGTCATCAGGAGATCCGTTTGGAACTGTTCCCATTCTGCCACCTCCTCCTGCCTCAATTTTTTTTCTTCGGCAAGAGCGCGTTCTAATTCGAATTGACGTGACTGAGCCTCGCGTTCTCTGCGCTGAGCTTCATTTAAAGCAGCCTTTAGCTCCCTCTTGTCCTCTAAATGCCTCTGACATTGTGCTTGCAGCTCTGCCAGAGAGTCTCTGACAAGCTGCAGCTCCGTGCTCATGGATAACCTCTCGTCCTTCAGCTGATTTAACCTATACTCCAGGTCGTCAATGGCTGACTTGGCATTATTGCGCGCTACCTAAAACAAAATTAATTATTCTTTTGCCTTTATATAGGCGAACAATCATCATTGCACGAAACGTACTTTGTATTCCTCTTGAAGCTGTGAATATTGATCTTTAAGGCGGTCGTGGTCGCAATGCGAACGTGCCAATTGCTCCTGCAGGGCTGCCGCTTGCGTTTCCAGAGTATCCTTCTCTCTTCTGGCTGCATCTAATAGTTCATCAGCCTCACTCTTATTCTCCACCTGCCTTGATTGTTCCAGTTCTTCGATTTTAGCTCTGGCATTATCCAATAACGTGGCTAACCTGCTTATTTCTATGGTTCGATTCGCTCCTTCCTGCCTAGCTTCAGCCAATTCCATGTCCAGTTGCTTCCTCTCAAGGTTCGCTGTCTCCTCCGAGGATTCTAGCAAGTGTACGCATTTTGTTAAGCGTTCTGTCTCAGCTGCACTGGCTTCAGCTGCTGCTCGAAGAGTCTTCACTTCAGATGTCAGTTCCTCTTGTTTCTGTAGTAACGATTCTCGTTCCTCTTGCGCACTCTGCAATTGGTTAATTAAATCAATGATTGGTTGTGATTTTTGGGGAATTTGTTTCTGCAATATTAGATGTATTTACTTTCAGAAGGTCTACTAGTTTTTGCTCACGCTCTGTGTTGTAGCCTTTGGAAGATTCCTGAGGCTGTTCTTCCCTTAAGAGCAAACCCTGTAAAGTATCCACCTTGGAACGTGAATCTTCAAGCTTCTCTGTCTGTCTACACAGTGACTCCAGCAGCACATCCTTTTCCTCTGTTAACCTTTCATTATCAGCTTGTAGTTCTGTAAGCTGTGCCTGCAAATGAGATCTTATAGTAACAACTTTATATTATCATTTAATGTTTTGAATTAAAGAGATCTGTATACTTGTAGATCGCTTAATTCTTGTATCGTTGCCTGTAACTCTTCATTCGTTGAATAATGCGTTTCTTCCATTTGCAAAATTCTATCCTGCAGACATGCGACAGAAACCTCTGATACAGAACTAGATGAGTGTTTGTCCCAATCTGGGGTGGTACACTGAGCATTATCTTGGGGTATACTCGTGACTGGTGTAGAACCTTCATCTTGGGGGATTGCTATTGACGCCGGTGCTGAATTATGCAGTCTCGAGGCATCCAGGAGTAACTGTTGCTTCTCTGAATCCGACAATGGAGAATGTGCTACGTCCCTAAGTCTTGCACGAAGAGTTTCGTTCTCCTCAGTGAGGCGTTCTAGCTCCAAACTATGCTGCTGCTGTATTTGCAAAAAAAAGAATTTTAAAATACACATGCTGCATTGAAAAATACAATCATAATACATCATAAAACTTTTTATGGTCGCGTTATAAAAAGTAAGACAATCATTAGTATTTTTTTTCTACTACATGTCTTTGCTGTTTTATTTACTTTAATAAACACGATATTAGACGCTTACATATATGAGAATATGGTGGTCGATCGGATTCTAATTATTCGAATCAAGTGGCATAAATATAATACGCCTGGCCGCATGATATACTATGACAATACCGAGAAATCTAAGTTCGTAATTCAAGGTGAATGATTTTTACTCGATCTCCGTTGACTACACGGCGAATATGTCATTAATCGAGGTTAGGTCCCACGAACGTTTGAATAATCGTCTCGATACTTTCAAAAGCGGTAATAAGCGTCTATTTACGACTTGTCGTGCAAGCGTGGATAGTTAATAACGTAAGGTGCCCCTTGTCGTTTACCGTAGATGAAGAGAAACAACGTTTTTTCATAGCGTTCGCGGTCGTTTTGCTTCACAGGCTTCCTTCCTTCGTAAACACATCCCCACGTTTTACGCCCTCTGGCTATTCTTTAAATACGCGGGATAACGTTTTAATGTAACGTTCGGAAAAGAAGAAAAAAAAATAATCATCAATCAAATTTGTCAAGTAGAAAAATAATACCAAAAATGTTCTTGTAAACTGTATCTTAATCGATGAATTTTTCAACCCTAATTCCTAATAGATTATAACTTTTAACTCTACTACAATAAAAAAACCTAACTAAATATTTAATTGAATGAAACAATCGATGAATTATTTAACCCTAATGTTTTATTTTTCTCTCATAATAATGAGAAAGTAAGTTTTGCAGAAATGAGCAGATTCTTCTGAAGAACGTCGGTCTACTAGATTCATAATACAATGTCATTTACGTAACTCTGTTTCAAGATGCTATTCGAGAATTAATAATTAAATGAACTAATCATTTGAGTACTACGACCTAAACTAAGTTTATTATATGTTCTCGATTATGTAACATCCGCTTTTCGCAATACTGGCGACTACAAGCCGGGAAAAAGGATCACCCACGTTCACCTTGAATCATTAGTTATGTATCGTGAAGAATACAACCGCTTGATAGGTCCTGCCAACATCTGTTGACGTGAAGAAACCACCCTCGAATATGATTCTCCGCGTTTTTTTTCCTTGTAACGTCGACAGTGGAATGGGGATCGGGGTGAGAGAAATAAATCTTCACGTGAGGAGGAAAACGAAAGGGGGAGACGATAATAAAAAGCAACGGCGGGAACTCTATTTCTTCTTTTACAACATCTTAATTTCATCTTATTAAAGTTTAAACATTTTGAAATGCAAATTAAACCTTATATGTTGTTCAAAAATTCCGCCATTTTAAAAAATACTGATTGGTCCAAAAGATCGATACTATATACATATATATCAATAGGACAGTAGAATCAACCGGTGAAAATACGTTTAAACTACATGTACTACGTTGTTAATCAAATTAAGATGTAAGAATTGTTACAATTATACTTTTCCGCTATTTTTTATTAATATTGGAAGGTTACCTTGAGAGAAGTGAGTTCAGCTCGCAGTTCGTGGAGATTCTGAGAGTCGCAAGATGCCTCCCGTAGATTCGACTCAAGTCTCACTCGTTCCTTGCGTAACACCTCGATCTCACGCTCGAGCTCCTGCATCCTGGACCCCTTGCCGGGTCCCTTGGGATTGAGATTGCCCTTCGCGTGTCCCTTTGTCCCTTCCTTACCAAGAGAGCCCCAGTTACCGACCGACTGGCTCTCGTTCTTCGCCTCCAGCGAGGAGGCGCTGGACGCCTGACGCAGCGAGATCTGTTGCTGCTGTTGCTGCTGCGTCGGCTGTTGCTGTTGCTGCGGCTGGGTTTGCTGTCCTCTGCGAAACAGCGATTTGAACTTCATCATGGTCGCTCGTCACGCTTCACTTTATCCACTCAACCGAAATTAAATTCATTATTCGTTGTTAATATCGTTCAGCAATAAATATTTATTGCTCGAACATTGCACCTGAACCCGTTTACGGGGTGCGTTGAACAAAAACTATGGAATAATTGTTACATAGCAAGGGATTGTGGGTCTTCACTGAGTTTTTCGACGCACTTGACTAAGTAACATGATCTTGATCGATGAGAACTTCATTTTAGACCTTATTAACAATTCGATACTACTACACCCACTACATACTTGTATATTATACACTTTTACCATTCAAAAAAATTTTATTAATATAAGTTCAAGAATAAATTACCAGAATTCATGGTGACGGTTTTTTAATATTCTCAAAATCACTAAATATTTTAATATTACACATATTCGTTTATACAACTTTTTCACTTTCTGAAAATTACTACATCTGTTCGTATAATGCGAGGATCTACGTCAAAACAACTTAGTATTTCCATAAACACAGTATTTCAATGTTATACACCGTTTCGATGCAGTTCTTCCACTTTTTAAATAAATACTATACAAAGCTCGTGTAGTACGACGATGCACCGTGAAATTCTACGGAATTCTCTGTAAGGAGAGCGTGCCACTTTCACGGCGTCCAATTAACATCTAGTTTCGGGTTTAACCAGAATACACCGCAAACAACAGTATCCAATTCCTTTCTTCCCATGTCGAGTAACGTCATTCTACGCTTAGATATTATTCAAGGATTCGATATACGCGAACGCGTGATCTCGACTAGTATATTTGTTCTCACGAGTGTTCACAAATTCTCAGCCGCCGACAGCGACCACTTGTTGCTTCGAGCAGCCTGACCGCGAGCCTGCGTCCTCTCGATGCCTCATCGAGAGATACGCTTGCATCCTTGAACGTCGAATTCGCTTGATCGAGACCTTTCCAACGATTTATTCAAGCACATTGATTGTATCACATTAGTCACTCGTGTACACTACGGTCCTTCATTTCTGGACCCACAATTATGGATATATGAATACTAAAAATGTTGATGATTATTTTTCAATACGAAAATTCCACAAATTTTCTTCTGAGAAACACGGAGAGACGACACACTCCCTAAGACAGTGCATCGAGAACTGAGCACAAGTCTCAACAAGTCCTACCCCCACTATTATATTTCCCCTACCCGGGCCACGACTGGAGGAAGGGCTTGGAACGCGTCTAGGCGTCGAACGCGTCTGAAATTTACGGTAACGATGATGCTGGAATTGTTTTGGACCACTACTGATACCGATCCGAAATATTCGTCGGTATATATGTACATCGGGGGGAAGCCGAACGTATTTCATTACCTACCATGAATAATCGTTATCGCGATGCTTGCCTGTAAGATGCGTTCGAGATAGAAAGTGAAATTTTTGTTGCATAACATTCCTTTAGATTTCTCACAAGATCGGCTTAACTCTGTCAATCTACATATTGTTAAAATGATACATATTTAATTATACACTCTATTGCATCGTACATTTATACATATATACCTTCCAGTGTTGCATGTATCTCGTATAATAATAAAAGGGGATTTCCTGGAACAATTAACGACGCCAAATTACATATATATGCATCTATAATTAGGAAGGGTCTTGTTTGACCGACCAGATCTACATGGCTTTAATCGTTCGATCTCTCTTTCGATGTTTAGACAGAGATCTCGATCGAGAAGAAAAAGTCAGATAATTGCTGAGAACTGTAGTGGGACTTAAGGCAGACCGTACCAACTCTGTGGGAACGAGTATACACTCCGTGGAGTATGCTTAGGCGAGCACTTGGTGGTGATTGGGGGGGGGGGGGGCAGAAGCTGCTTAAGGAGGCCACGGAATCTGCAGCGTCTCACCGTCGACCAGTTTTCTCATACGGTCGACATATGGTATGTACCCGGTGGCCCGAACTTCTCCTCAGGGATGCCTCTCCTGTAAGAACCCGTAAAGAACCCTTGACCTACGTCCTAACACAAAGCCGGTTACCACTACTGATATTTGTTATCAGATGTCGCTTGTAAGATCAAGTGTACGTTACAGAGGGCATTTATGTTACTTAGTGAGTAGAAGAGAAAAAATTCATGTATAAGAATAATTTAATTTAACTTTTTCTTACGTTGTTGATAAAGATTTTCTGATTTAAAATTCGAAATGTTGGAAATGTTATTCTAATCTAAACACTAAGCTGACACTAACAGTATACAGTAGTTTAAAATTTTGCCAAGGTCTGGGTTAAATCTGTCTAAGTTTTGACTTGATCTATATTAGGTCTGGATTAAATTTACATCCAGATTATTATAATAAGGGAAATCCATACCAGTGGAAATACCGATTACAGGTAAAACTGAGAGAAAGTCAAACGAATATTATACACAGTGTTCCAAATTTCATCTATGAATAAAAATAAGAATAAGGAAAACGACACAGTGTATTTTTGTAAATTTTCTTACAAAACCTGACCCTTTTTCACGTTTAAATCCAAACGAGAATCTACTACCATGTTAGTAGAAGGTTATATACAAGGTGTTTATAAAAGTTGTTGCCAGGGTGTTTATGAAACTTCAGGAACGTGTAGTACTCATCAAAACAAGCAAAACATTCTTAAAAAACATGGTTCTAAAAACCATTAGTTTCGATGATAATAGATTTTCCTGCTTTAAACCTATAAGAATGGTGACTTCGTTGGATGAATTAAAACAGCATATTAACAATTCCTGCCAAGTGATAAAAGAAATGCTAGGGATCTTTCAACGCGTGCGTGCATCTATGAGGAGACGTGTAGAAGTGTGTGCCGAAATGAACAGGGAACGTATCGAACATATGCTGTAAAAGTAATGTCTTACAATTAGTGATAAAAACGTCTCGTAACTCCGAAACTAATAGTTATTAGACCTATGTTTATTAAGACTTTTTCCCTTGTTTTGATAAGTACTACACGCTCCTGAAGTTGGGCAACAACTTTTATAAACACCCTGTACAATTAAAATGGAACAGAGAGAGTATCCAGAGCGCAGAAAGCCAAGTCGGCGTGTTTCTGAGCCATCGATGACTGGGCTCCGGCGATCGTAACCTGATACGGGCCGATTCTATGGCGAAGGAAATAACGCGAACAAAGTGCACACGTCTGTGGATACACCTGATCGCGTGTTATACGGCTGACACGCATGTAAACTCGCTTACCATAGTAACATTATCGTTAGGAACAAGTATTCGCACATTTCCTAGTCGTTAAAAGTATTGACGACCATATTGAACCACAAAAAGGATAAAAAATTTTGTTCTTCTAAAAATTAAACAATTTAATATCCTAAAAATGATTGTTTAATCGACATCTATTTATTAATAAATTTTATACTTCTATCTATATTTCAAAAACATCCTGTATACCGTTGTTCTAAAGTGTCCTGACCGGCGTGCACCGTGAAAAAGTCTCGGATTCGACAGAATGAGCCTATTGTACAGGGTGTTGCGAAAGTAAACGTTCAACGACCCAGTTCACTTTTTTTCTCCTCTTGTACGCTTTCGCGATAGAGTCTGAAGATGCGTTTATTAAGAATGAATTAAATCGATGAGAAGCTAACCTACTTTACCGACGCGCTACTTCGTCCGATCTATGTATGTATGTATGTGCTGCCAGAATGTTTTTGGTGCGAACTATAGGTTATGTATAGTACCTGTTGCACTTCACGAAAATTTATTCGTGGTACTAAATGCATCTAACGATAATTATTACAATTCAATACATAAAAGTTTGTTCATTTTTATCTCGACAACACAGTTAAGAATCAATGTATACCATAAATCGATATATCATGGTATAAGCGACTAATTCGATTTTTCTATACTTTCACGACTTACAATTAAGCTATTTACATAATCACCAAAGCAAATATGAGAAGAATAACTTATAGTACGTGTTCAGAATTTTGATAAATTTAAATATACCCTATGGTCTCCTAATTGTCTGGAACAGTGCATAATTGCAATCTAGCGTGTAATTAACATTTCTCCGGCGTACGATGGTGGATGCTACGGAAATATCAACGGAAGAATGTCGATGTCGATGTAGACACGCCGTTTACGAGTTATTCATACCTCGATTAATATGCTATACGATACCTCTATGCAACAGGCTATACGTCACCGCGTTCCACGCCAGGGTTCTAGAGATCGATTAAACATTTATTATCTCGACAATTTCTTTCGATCCTTTAATTGACCCCTATTGTCTTAATTTAAAATAAGATCTTTCGTTCTTTTTAATGTCAGGAATTATTTTTAAGCAATTTTAAATGTACAAAAATTATATTTTAGTTTCTTTTAGCTCCATAATACTGGTTGAAGGTTGAGTAATCTTTAACAATTTTTTTTTGGTGGAAAGAAAAATGTTTTCGTCAGAGTATATCACTCCTGCCACTTACAGGGTTAAAATAGAATGAGATCAAGGCTGACGAATAGTATACTTCGTATGCACAATATAGTTTCCCGGAATCACGGTGACATCGAACATATAAATCCTAATCGCGATTCGTCGTGGAAAGAATTACATACATTGCTGACGGCGTGGCTTTATCTGCGTCCAAGAAGACGCGAAAAAGATATCGTTATCGCCAGGTGTAGGACTTATAGGCAGCGCGATTACGTTTTTCCACATGCAGATAACAATTTCTGTGAATTCTGGTGGACTGGAACTGGCGAATATAGTAGTCCCCAGATTCATTATAATATTAATTATCTGAAAAATCTTGCACGTTTCATTGTATGTTCGTAACAATATTATCAATGAATAGGTGAGGTTCTCCCGATGTAAATGAGCCCAAACACAATCCTATTCAGACAATTTTTCATTGGAAACGTTATACCGGGTGTATTACAATTTTCGAATCGGAAATAAAAGTAATCGGAATTGGGTTGTGTTTAGGCTCATTTTTGTTGGGAGAAATTCACCTACGCAATGACGATATCTGTATAATGAATAATATAAAAACTTTTATTTTCATCATAGTATCAGTACATTGATTCATGTGTTTTTTGTCCTAGAAAAATATTCATGATTACATTTTTACATGGATAATTGAATCAGAAGTGTAATATAAATGTAGAAATCTGTCATCAAATACATAATTAGTATATTAAAATGAAAAGATTATTTTTTATGTCTCGAACAGTAAACGTGTTAAAATTGGCCGTGATCTACTGCGAAATCACGTATTTTTGTCATGTGGCCGAGATACGGTTGATACAAAAATTTATACTCAGTGTAAACAGCGACGACCGCAGTCATTTGTGCAAATATAGAACGAAGAAGTGTGGAAAAGTAAACGTGAGGACGGTGTGTGCGTTCTTTGTTTTGCCTTACAATTTCTGAATGATTTTTTGGAAGTGGTAGATAAACAATTACAAGGAATAGATAAAGACGCGAAACTGATGATGCTGGTTCTTCCTCAGCACACGGTGACGTCATTCTCTTCCCCATTTTCTACCAATTGACTTTACCCTTATTCAAAAGTCTTTAAAGAGGCTCGTCTTCATAATGATTTCATTCATGATAGCATGAATTTCCACTAGGGGAAATTGGACAGTAGTCATAGTTGTATTTATACAAAACAATTCTTTTAGTACTATTCAAGGTCTTGAAAAGAGGTAGAAGAATACTCATAAATGTTATTAGATGTGCAAAAATTCTAAGTTTTAATTAAATTAAGAAGAATTAATTTAATTAAATTAAGCTATTTGATGATTATTAGTGACAAAAAAAATTCAATTTCAGCTCGTGTTGGAAATTTATCGACTATCGATCGCACGTATGATATATCCTCAGAAGATTTAACGCAACTTAAAGCTATCGTTAACGTGATCACTCGGCCGAACCGTTTCACGGCGATTCTTCGTAAATAAAAAGAAGTTACCGGACTGCAATCAAACGGACTGCTCATTAACTTTTGATTCACTGGGTATGTAGGTCGTTCGACGTCGACCAAGTGCCGCTCTCACTGTCAGAGTCGGTCGTCGATCTGTTGAGCGGTCGCCACTTAGGGCACGGTAAGAATCAGCCTGCGCCTCAAACTCTTCCCTGCTCATACTCTGCCCCTCCTACTCTGTTCCTCTTTTTTTCTCTTTGCTCGCGCAAAGAGCCGCATCTTTAAACTTTAATTAAGTGACCGCAACGGACAAATGTCGACGCGGACTGCTATACTAAACTACAGTAATCCCTGCATTAGACTAAGAGCATTCGAGGCTGAGAAATGACAGTATATCAAACTAAGAAATAAACTTGCCATTTTATGAGCAAGAGAAAGCAATTCTTTAATTTTTATATCTTTCATTATATATTTATGAGAGTATTACCAACGTACAAGTGAGGTTCTTCTGATGGAAACGAGCACTAACACAACCTCATTCCGATTGTTTTTTTTATTTTCGTTTGGAAAAATAGGAGTCCATACACCCGGCATAATTATTTTCAGCAAAAAATAGTTCGTATAGAGTCGTGTTTGGGCTCATCTTTATGGGGAGAACTTTATCTGATCGTTGATAATATTCTCACTAATATATAATAACGTATACAAAAATTTTACTTTCATTCATTCCAACAGCTGTACAAGCATAGAATCTTGCAAATTTCAATTTCACGATTAATATATGTTCTTTAGGAAACGACGTGATCAGTCTGATATAATGCAGAGCCTGATTTATGAGTGCCTGGAACAGGATCAGACCAGTTGGCCGGTGGTAGGTTAGAGTGGACCTCTTACGTCAAATGCTATGATTCAGAGGGGAATGTTGGGAGGAAGAAATGCGTACAGGTTGGTGGGTTAAGTGCCCCTGCAAAAGGAACGAACCGATTAGTAGTAGTAGGGAGCAACAGGTTAGAACTGACCTGTGTACAAACATTCCAACCCTACTTCTTTTTATCAAATTAACTTCAGACACATTTTTCTCGAAACATGTAACTAATGTAATTAAAATGTGTAAAAAACTTTTTTCTGAGGCGTAAATATCATTTAATGTGAAGAAGAAAAACAGGCACCAAATTTTAGGTAATAATTTACTAGAAATAAATTCTTGAAAACCGGGCAATTTTTGGCTTGACTTATAAAACTGCCCCCTTAAGTCAGCATATGTGGGACCTTTACATCCTCGAGGCTTCACGAAGCAATTTTTGAAGAGGCACTCGAGCCCTGGTGGAGGTGGTAACGCTCTTCGTCGCAGGAGACAGAGAAGGGAGAAGGAAACTGCAATTGGTGCAAAAAAGGAACTGGTTTAAAGCGCGGTAGCGCTTTCTGCAGACCAGAATTTGCTCGTTTGCCAAGCTAAAGCTACTGCGCGCAACGCAATCGCCAACGTATCTCGACAGCGAGAGAAAGTACCTCGACTTCCACTTTTCTAACTCACACAAACCGAATCCTCGCTTCTGGAAATGCAACAAGTGATTCTTATTTGTCCTTTCATAATGAAATACTATTAGATATGAAAATTTAATTTGAAGTTTTATAAGAATTATAAATATGTCACATAATTTCCGGGAGAAAATTTAGACGCTCATCTTGCACGATACATACAAAGACGTTTGAAACTGTCTATATACCGTGTGATACCAAGAATTCGTGGAGAAAGGAGCGTGCACGAGGAGTTCGTCGACCCCCCGTGCGAACTAGCGACGAACTACCACGCATCGTGCGTTTTCCTTTGCTTTCTTTTTCTTTTGTTGTTGGCCTTTTTTCGTTCTTTCTAAAGAGGACCGCGCCACGCACGCCTACTGGGTGAAACGTGTCATTGGTTGGCTCGCATCATCGCGCGGGACACGCGGTAACATAATCGTTTATATACACTCACTTGTGTCGGTGATCTAGCTTCGTCTCGTGTCCGACAGGACGCTCGAGTTTTCTGCTCGCTGGTCTTTTCGGACTGAAAAGTGACGAGACCACGTCGCGTTTTCGACCTGAGCCCGATGGCGGCCTTGAATCTGGCTTCGATCTGAAATTCGAAACCAGAATGTCATATTATTTGATCTGTTCGTGCAGTTGCTAAAATAAGTGTAAAAATTGGAAAAGAAGTAATTTAGACCATATTTGGTGACGTAGTAACAGGGTTAGAATACGTTGAATTTTCAATGAGCAAAAGATTGCACCAGTGTCCCTGCAAGGAGTATGCAAATGACTAATAAAGGATTGTGCAACACGTAGGCGCGATAATACTCCCACCTGCGCCTGGCAAGGACTGCACAAACTCATTATCGAATTACAACGACGATTTAACTTTCTGAATGTTGAACGGTCTCGTATTACTTCTGACACTTCGATTCTAATGGCCGCTGGATATCGAAGTGAAAAAATCGAACATTACTGATTTGTTACATATAATCGATCCGTAAATCGATATCATATAAGACTAATTTCATTATCATTCGGTTGTTTGAGTATTTCGTAAGGTATGACACATTCACTGGTAGTCGCTATTATCCGCGATGAGTTCGTTAGGAAGAAATAGGGTTCAGGAATTTCAACGAGCAATTACAACATGCATTGAGAAGCTACGAGTTGACGGGTCAGTTCCATCAGTGACCGCTGGTCAATGCCCTCTGTTGTTCGATCCGTTTATTAGAAATGACGATCCCGCGAATCGAAACGATTTCATTTCGTGTCTGTATATATGTACCTGGTTAACCCAGACTCCTTACATAAACTGCGAGCAAGTGGTCTCAATAAAGGAAAAAAAAGGCGATATTGCTGGTTTCTCTACTGTGCAATACTTGAGCTTGTACTTATTTTGTGTTACACCGATTCACATGTTAATAATGCGGTACCGCGTTAAACACAAGTAGTCGATAATTGAACTTTTCTAGTAATGTAGAAAAAAAATATTAAAATTAGAATATTTAAAACAAAGGAAAATATTATTAATAACCAGCTGTATGACAACGATTAGGAAAACCATTTTTAAAATTTTTAATCTAATATTTTTAGGGTTTGAACCGGGGACCTCTCGATCTGCAGTCGAATGCTCTACCACTGAGCTATATCCCCAATATCAACCGGTTTTAAAATGGCATTATACTGGTACACTTCAGTTCCCATAAATGTATCTTTTAAGTACAAATTTAAACTTCTTACTGGAAGAATTATGAAAAGAAAACTTCATAAAACATGAAGAATTTCGAATTTATATGTATTTATGTTAAAAGCAAATCAAATGTCTAATCACAGATGAGGTATATACATGATATACCTAACATCTTATGGGACTTTATGTCCGCGGCACTAGGGCCGAGGTGACCCTTATCATTTTCGTGTCGCTCCCAACGTTACCGATTCAGCATAGAATAAGATTACAACATTAGTAGTGGTCGGAATTAGAACTACATGTAAACATGGAATTACAAATAAGAAAGTAACGTAATTGTTTATTAGTATGCTGTTAAAAGACCATGAACAGTTCTACTCAAGCAACCCAATATGTGTATATATTTTTGTATGCAGATTTAACTAAAGAGGATTTTTTACATCTGTCGACTTTACCATCTTGAATCATGGTTGAATCGTATATAATTCCTAAACTCTCCGCTTTATATCGTAGAGGGCATAATAAATTCTCTGATTTTTTACACGATCGGTATTTCAGAACGTTGGATACAAAAATATATTAGGTGTTAGGTTTACCCTGTACCTCGTCTGTGCTTAAAAGATCCTTCTTTTGTTAAATCTGCATGTAAAGATAAGTACATAAGTAAATACATATACTAGATTGCGTGGGTAGAACTATTGACGATCTTTTGACAGCAGTAGAACACGTGCATGTGATGAATCATCTACTAATAAACAATTACGTTATTTTCTTATTTGCAATTTCATATTTACATTTCCTTCTAATTTGAACCACTATTAATGTTGTAATCTTATTCTATGCTGAATCGGTAATGTTGGGAACGACACGAAAATGGTAAGGGTCTTCTTGGCCCTCGTACCGCAAACACAAATCCGATAAGATGTTAGGTTTATCCTATACATCGTCTGCATCAGAACATTATAAAATTAAATTCAGAAATAAACAAATACACTTTCGTTTCGCATGAATGTTAAAAAGCACATTCAATGAATCACGAAAGGGGATTTTTCTGATTAAGTTTCTCTTGCATGCATTATGTTATGATGTTCTAAAATACATCTGTATGCCAATTTTTTAAAAATTAATCAGTTAGTCAACGCGGAAATAAAAAGTCACTTACCGGGCTCTCGTGGACTTTTTCGTGATTGGTATAGAAGTGGCTGATGCCCGTTTAAACGGTGCTCGCCCTCCCGAACCCACGGACATTCCGCTTCGAGCCTGTAACAAACCGTAAATCAACAAATTATTAACATGAAAATACAATACAATTAAAAATTACAAGAATACAATTAAACGGTACATCATCTTCCAACTTCTCCTCACGGTCAGTAGGCAGCCTCCAGACCCGTGTCTGTTCGGCGAATACGCGGACGCGCACGAACTCTGGACTAATGGTACAAGTGCAACATGGAAACCACAATTGTGACATCCTTGACGGGATATCTTCTCTTACGAATACGAATTCAATCTGTTCGCGCTGTAGCGATATGTATAAACACGGGCTAGAAACGAAACATGCGCTAAATAATTATAGAAGCGAAGGACGCCACACGAAAAGTGAAACGAGCTGCACCGTAATATGCTACTAAACACAAAGTCTAGAAATATCGTGACAAGGACGAGCGTAAACGGAGGAACGAGATATATGTACCGTGTTCCCTCCAAAAACGTCCAACAATTGTCGAAACATGTTTAGACTGGTTAGGCAGATCACTGGATATAATCGATACAACCTCCTTTCCTTGAAGTATCGATCGATTAGCCGATTACGATAGAACTTTCACCATTTCTTAACCTATAACGGTCGGTATTCGCGATGTATACAATTTTCTATTGAAGAACTACACTTCTCGTATACATATAACGACTAAGTGAATTGGAGTTATTACGATAAGAAACGATAAGTCGAGATATATCTAGAGATACAAACTCGCCGGTGATAGATAATAATGTATTGTTTGTTTATATTTCAAATTTCCAAAATTAATGGAAGTTTACTTTTCACTGACGGTCAGCAGCAATTTTATTTACCTTAATTTTATAATACACTATTTGATTCAATAAAGAATATAAAATTAATTAGGTATCGGATAATGAGGATATTGAATAATGGTCAGATACTGAATTCATTGAACAGTCACTAATATTTCGTACGTGGACATAGGAGTTAATGATGGTACATCAAACTGACACCGGTTCCCAGGAGAACCGGTGAGATTTTCAACGGCGAATATGCACGGGAGAGGTTCAATCAGAGGGGTATATACATGTCCGTATACATACGTAGCTGTAAAGGTTCATTGAACTTCTCGCTGCGCGTACGGGTTCTCGGCCAATAATAAAGATGCATGCCCGGTACGTAACTACGTTCTGTACATACGTACGTAAGTACTACCCTGCACCCGTGGCAGGCTGCTCGACGCGAAATACTCGTGGCGCACATACTAAGCTCGTGGTGCACACGCGACCCGCGCCTGATCCTTATATAGGGTGTCCTTTTAGTTTTAACTAAACAATTTTCAACCTGATCTTAATCCTTTATACTCGACCAATTTGTACAGTGAGAGTATGATCAATTAGGAAACAATTTTTTTAAAAAAGGAAATATTTTTATATCTATTATATAAAATTGTGTAATTAACTGTAAATGCTCGTGGAATCGCTTAACAAGCAGAAAATAAGTCAGAAGGTACTGTAGCATAATACGTAGCGATACAACATCGTCTAATGGTACGTAAGGCGCATGTGCACTACCGGTTACTTTCAGCTGCTGCCACTATGTTGTTAATGATTTCTGTTTACTGAAGGAATTGGAATTTCTGTAGAGCTTGGCCTTACATAATTGGCGAATTGTAATGACGTGTAATCTAATAATTCCAATAATCAAAATAATGTTTATTATGTGTAGTTTGTTCGCGAATTTTACTACCATAGTGAAATAATTTTTTGACTAGCTTCCTGTAGGGTTCAAGACAGGGTTAGGTGGACCAGAGTACTGTTAGGTGGACCAGAGGCTCTCCTACAAACTTACACGGTGGCTAGTAATAAAACAAAGTGAATTAAGGTGCGATTAAAGAACCAAAAAGATGGTGTATCAATGTGAAACCGAGAAGCTCCAGAGATGACGTTTACGGACGTTTTTCATTTTTTGTCGCAGGGTGTGGTGGCAATAGGCTTGTTTCCCCGGCCTACACTTTGTCAACGAGAGCAACAGCACCGCTGCTGGGAGCAGGCCCACACATGCAACACCCGCCAGCCGCATGGTAACCTCTATTATCGCCTGTCTCTCGCTTGAACGCCCCCAAAACCGCTTCGACAAGTGTCACCAATTCTAACCTAACCCTGACAGTCTGTTAACCTCCACCAGCGCCCCACGTGTTCTGCAAGATGTACACTTAGGCGTGACATAATCTCAACGACGATCACACCTGCACATAAGTATCCAAATTTAGGCTCTTGTGATCACGGTTGGCGGCAATATGAATCGCAAACAAGCGTCCGTCGTGGCAAAAGAACGAATCGGTCGCGTATTGAAGAAAGAATGATACAGATCCGCGCGATTCGGCAGTTCAATGCGAACTGGCTACGTCCATGCAATTCCATTCCACGTTATTCCACCACTGTGACCTCTCCTACTCTCCCTCCTTCGCTCGTTCTTTCGTTCTCTCTCTCTTTTTTTCTTGCAACCGATTCGTCCCTTCGCCTGGCATCACTCTGCATGCTAGTTACACAAACAATCGACTCGTCGATTTTCAGCGGTGTCGGTCTCTCTTCGCGATTAACCGCTCTCTGGATAATCCTTTAGGAACCAGTGGATGGTCGGCTGGTTAAATGCCACTTGTGACAGGAAATGTAACGCTGACTGGGCTCGACGTGTATAAGATGTTATACACGGTGTCTAGAATACAGCGGTACAACGACAAAGTGAATTTTATTTTGTGTGCAATAAAATGAGTTTCGAAAACAGTTATTACGTCGAAGCTAACCTTAGAACGCGAGGTGTCATTCTGTGCTCCTGAATGCAGATAAAAAGCGGCACACTGATGGTCTCAGTCCATTCTGTCATCGTTCATGACACATCGAAAGAAAAATCCTAGTCATCTCGGAGAAATCTTCCGACATTCCATCAAACGCGCGAAAAAACGTTGCATGCCCGACAACGTAATGGTTTTTTTACCGATCGTAGGTACGTAGTGTCACGCGCACACGTGTATGCATGCGCATATGTTCGATGTATGATTCGATTGATTCGTTCGACCTTGCTGCACGCGAACTGGGTAACCTTCTGACCTAATCGCTGCTAATTTCATTTGCTGTGCATGTACATTAGGTAACGCGCGAATCCCCGTGTGCACAGTGGAAGCCAACCGCGGAGAACGTACGCCGGGAGAGCTTCTGTCGCGCTCCAAATACCTGTTCGCCTCTACCCACCTGGCGTGATTACGGCCCGCGGCATCCCACGTAGATCTAGCCATGGATCACGAAGCTGAGACCCCGTGTTGCCGTCATGAGCATCCATTTTTCCTGTTTTTCCAGCTACCTTCGATTGCAATGTTGCCCTAAAACAGATTTTTTACGTACACATAATTCTGTATCTTATTATGAATACTCGGATATTAATTTAGTGTATGTAATACAATACTGATGAGGTATTGTCTCTTTTAAATTAATTAAGGTGATTATTCTTTTTTTGATACAATAGCTGGAAGTAATGGCGCCAAATTTGAATTTAAATATAAGAATCATTACAATAAAATTTTTTTCTGATCTTGAAATTTTTTTTTACCAAGCACGGATAATAAGATGTTAAGTTGATGGATATAATATAATAATGATAAGTTTCTAGGTTTTTTTTAAGTTAATTAAGATACGTTGTGACACTTGTGCCGCCAAAATAGGAATCAGCCATATCAAAATTTTCTGAAACAATTTTTACCTCTTAATTGAACACTATAACCAGATACTACAGTTTTCAATATTTTTCAGAATATTAAGCAACTCTAAATGATTCCAACTAGTATCCAGCGAGTCCCATAATTAAGGATCACAAATTATCATGCAAGCATCAGGTCAGAACCATTTAATGGCACGGATTAGTCGTTAAAATTAACGGTACAACCGGCAGAGGACGGTATCTCATGATTTGTAGAACACTTGGGTGCAGCTTCTGTAATTATGTGAACAGTTAGCACACAGGTGGAGGGATTAGAATGATTGGGATAATTACACGTTACTCACCGTTGCAACTTCTTTACCGCTCGATACCACTATATTATCGATCGAGCGTCCTGAGAAAAACTAATGTAAATTTTTTCGCCGGGATATGTACTATGGAGTGTCGGGAGACACGAATCAAAGAGAACAAATGCAGAACTGCATGCGCCGCGAACGACAGCCCGCAAGAGACTGCCGGTCGCAATGACGATGCATCGTCTTCGACTAGGATGGGTAAAATGGATGGATGGATGGATGGATAGACAACGTAGCAGCGACGACTAATCACCATGGAGCACTAACACCAACGCCTCAATGTTACGCATAAATATGCATCCGCAGCATGTAATTTTAAAGATGCCCAAAGAAAATAGCGAAATAATGGCTCTCGGTGCTCTCTCCTAGCCGTTGATCATTCAAAATCTTCTTTTTCACTTTTTTTATATGTATGCAGTAAATGAATAAAAATATTAACTGATGCAAAATGGTTTTTCCTTGTTTAGTGATTTAATATGGCTACAGTATACTGCACAAATACTTATCACAATATTCTACCTTATTACATTCTTATGTTTTAATGTCTTATACAAAATGTATCATAACAATCTATAATAATCTATTTCTTCATTTACACTGACTTGCTGCTGTTCACGAAAATTTCTATTTCTATTTAAAGGTTCTAAAATAATATCAACGAAGGGATACCGTTATCTTGTGACTAACTCACTCCGTGTACACACATAAAGATAAAAGAAGACCACTTGGATCAAATAGATTTAAACAGGGTTGACCCTCAGCTGACAGGGTGAAATATTCCTTACGTAACTACCAGGGTGGGTCAACTTGACCCTGATCAGAACAATAGCTTGAACATATACCTCTCCAGCCTTACTATACTTCTTCTAGAATCTTAATGCCTTCTTTCCATACACTCAAGCCACGATAATAATAGAATAACAATTTTAAACCAAATGAATCATGTGGAACGTTTTTTGCTACCTGTTGAGGGTCAAGCACTTTAATCTGTATGGGCCAACATATGGCAATCTATTGAGCTAAATAAGATAGGCGAGTAATCACGTATCGACCAATTTATCCCTCACACTTGGACCGAGTGTTAACACCATAACGGTGTCGAAATTATAGCTCGTCTAAAATACTCGTTCCAATAATAATAGCATAATAGATGACTCTGGTTTAGGAAAAACGGTATCAGATGACGCGATGACGGCGAAAAACATGTAGGTTACACTCTAGTTTTGCATTGTGGGTCATCATGGAAGCATTAAAACTTGGTCGGAGACCTTCGACGTTTTCAAGGTTGTTCATGTTAAACCTAACCTCGTATTTCAATCCTTTATCTTCTTATTTGCTAAAAAAGTTAATACATATCATATCAGAGAAAAATTGAATTCAATGCAAAAGACTCGGAATAATGATCATGATGGTGCTTCTAGTCTATTAAAGATCGCCAGACGTTCCGAAGTCCGTCAAAGATAACCCAGACCTTGCTTGTAACTCGAACAGCGGAACCAGAGCTGAGGTATACAGCTGCAGGTGCAGGCCAGGCGACGAGTCATACTCTGGCAAGTGTATCACAGCGTACGTGAGTTCTCCTGCCAAACTAGAGCTGCGTATGCTAAAGATAGGTCGGGGATCGGCGTGTGTACCTACAACTGTTGCGGGGGACAAGGGCAACCTTGGCCTTACAAGTTTATATAACGAGGAAGCGCGAGAATCACGAGCTTAGTCGCGTCGTTTCGTTTCAAACCGAGACCTGGACGAGCTTCTTCGGAGCTCGTGTTTCCTAGTATACGTAAACAATCTGATTTTTTTTATTACTATTGTAGCCATTTAACATCGATCTGGAAGTGTTTGCTGTTTCTTCTAAAAATTGTTATAGTTCGAGTTATTCAATTAAAATATCTGAATAGTGATTTTCTTTGGAAAAATTCCTCTTTCAGTGCATCAGTTGTAATTGATGTTAATTAATGTTCTTGATGTTATACCTGGAAACAGTTAATGGTTGATACTGAGATTTATAAAAGTGATTTTGAAAAATTGGATCTGCTCTGCTAATTGCTTCACCAGTCACGTTCCATCGACGACAAATATGGTAACTGTTTATTGTTACGTTGGAAATTTCCAGTGATTATAAGGATGACAAAAAGGAGGGGATCAGCTCACCAGTGAAGAGTGCTCTAGGTTGGTAGACAATTTGGAAGATAATACGAGCAGTGTGTGTAACGCTCGTGAAAGTGAAACTTTATAGGCTACTGAGAGGAAGAGGAAGATCGCTTGGAAGCAGGAAGAACGCGGCTAGATCGTTTGAACGTGACCATGGTGAGTAGTGGCAAGTGGCGCTTCCGGTGTGCTTTCGGCACTGAAAAACTATAACACTGCACTTCCTGCTTCAGACTAAATAAATAACTTTAGAATAGCAAATAATGAAGTGAAAATATTAAAAAATTTCTATATTTGAATATACAGAGATTTGAATATCTGAACATTTCAAAATTTTAATATCTAAATATTTAAAAATTTGTATATTTGAAAATTTAGGTATTTGTATATTTGAAAATTAAAAAATTTGGATATTTGGTTTACAATACAAACTGGACTTCTGTAGAGACCTGTACGTTCAATTTTCAAGCGTAAATATTTAAACATTGCAATTTTTAATAATTTCGGTATGATTAATATGTAGCTACGTTGAAACCTAATGGTAAACATGTGTTCAGGTAACTCGACAGGCCTAGAATTGGAAAAACAGGCGATGCATCTGATTTTACTCTGGGCGTTGGTCGCCCTAATTGGCCGCGTCCACTGCAAATGTAGCCTAGCGCCGATTGTGGATGACGAACGGTCGATCGCCTACGCTTGCACACACGGCGACCTGAACGACCTCGACGAGATATCTAGTGACGCGGACTGGATAGAATTCACGGTGTCCCGATTCCATCTTATCCCAGACAACGCTTTCTGGCGCTTCAAAAACCTCCGTCGATTGTCATTCTACAATTGCCATGTGAACTTTATCGCCCCGGACGCATTCGCTGGTCTAAACAGACTAGAGTGGCTCATATTCCATGGAACAAAGATCCATGCAGCCAGATCCATTTGGTTTCGTCCTTTGACTAATTTAAGAAAACTTGTTTTGGATAGGTAAATCACATTTTCAATGGTTAATCTATAGACACCATTTGATGGGGTTAGGATGGGGTTAGGATGACATGAACCCATATGAGTTCGTTAAAACAAAAAGAAAAACATTAAATGATATAAATGAAATTATATTCAACTTTTCTGGTCTATTCTTGAGATCTATTGCGACTATGTGGATTAAATTCAAAGCACCAGGGTTAGAATCAGTTACCGGTTACGTAAAAACATCCCGTTCAGTGGTGTCGACGACCTAGTTGTCAATGTTGCGCGTAATTGCAAGCATGATGTCACTCTATTTGAAAAGGTCGGCAATAAAAGCATCGTGGACCAAAAATTTACATGACAAACGCAGAAGTAACATCTGAGTCCTGTGTAAAACACACGATTACATAAAAGTGATAATGGATTTTGTGTCTGTATCGCAATGTACGCTGGGATTGTTTACAGATGCAGTTTGGTGCATATAGAGCCCGATATTTTCCGTATGCTGCCCAGAGTGGAGACTCTAGGCTTGCGTGATAACGATCTGGACTGTTTACCGACCGAGGAACTGTCTTATCTACGCTTGCTCAAGGTTGTACGCATCGATGGTAACCCTTGGCTTTGCGAGTGTCGACACCGGCTAGACGAATATTTTCGATCTAGATCCATTGTTCAGGAAGCGGAATGTACGAGACAAATTACTGTCTGCAGGAAATATCAATGCATGACTCCAATAGGTTTACCTGTTCTTCCTTCTATTCTGACGACTCAACAGCTATACGATTTTAGCAGGGTAATAATACAAAGAATAATTCTGGTGAAATTCGAAAATTCGATAGATTCGAATTATTTTTTGTTTCAATGATAGGAATTTTAATTACAGGAGCGCACAGTTAATCGTGGAAACGAATTTCAAACGAACGTGTTCACTTCCCTAGACCGATTACCGGATAAAACCACCTGGATCGAGATTTCAGGTCTGAGCATAGAAACACTTCCCAAATACGCGTTCTTCCGTTTTGGAAATAGTTTAAGAAACTTGGATTTGAACGACTGTCAAATCAGCGTGATCGAAAGTGGAGCTTTCGCAGGCTTGCATAAATTACAACGTCTCTCCTTAGTCGGTAATCGATTTCCAATTTTGGGCTCCAACTGGTTCCGTGATCTCGTCAGTCTTCAGCAATTAATTCTTCAAAGAAATTACATAGAACAGATCGAACGTACAGCACTGTGGCATGTTGGCAATACTTTGAGGCATCTCGATATTCGAGATAATTTACTTCGATGTATCGCTATTGAGGAATTGGCCGAAATGAAAACATTGGAGAGGTTAGACGCAGCTGGAAATCCATGGTTATGTACTTGTCGAGAAAATTTGCAAAACTTTTTAACTCAACGAAAGGTGGGATTTGAAATCAATTCTGGTAGATGCTACGAAAGCGAGGACGACATATCAGATGGCAACACGGGCTGGCGTGAGCAACAGGTACGGTGCTACTCATTTTTGACTCTGGGTTTCGCGTTTAAATTCGAAAATTTGAAAAACGGCGCGAAAATATTTAAATTAAATTAAACGAATTAGTATATTATCTTTTTATTTATACACAGATGATAGTCGAGGACACTTCAATCACCACTGGCAAAGTGCACTGGACCTCCTTTGAAGATACTATCAAACAGTCGAATATAACAATAGTCAGACCGCCACCTTCAACTCCTCCTCGACCGAAAATTCACGGCATCATGGCTCAACCCCCTGTTTATGAAGGCTTATGTTATCCTGAAAAACCCAATGGATCGATCTATGTTTGCAAGGCCATCACATCAATCGAAGAATTAACCATAATACCACTCACAGTGCAAACTATTAACGTCACCTTGTCGAACATCAAAAAAATTCCGCAAAATACGTTCGTGCGTTTTAATGGATACCTCACGAGACTCGAACTTCGAGATTGTGGTATCGAGACTATCGAACCTCGTGCTTTTACGAATCTACACAATTTACAATACTTATCCCTTCGAAGCAATCAACTGGAATCTATAAATGCCGATACTGTCCAAGGTCTTTACAACCTAAAACATCTAGACATATCCCATAACAACATATATCGAATCACAAACGATGTGTTCGATAATTTACGGTATTTAATAAACCTAGATATGTCTGACAACTCTATGAACTGCATAGGCGTGGAATATATGGATCAACGATTACGCTACCTAACCTCTCTAGATGTTTCGAATAACCCTTGGAGCTGTTTATGTGGAACGAAATTGGCCGAATTTTTGGACACTCGCGACATAAAATATGATAAAAATTCATTGCTACTGAGAGAAGACTGTTACGCGTCAACTCAACCGGAAACGACCATTATTCCTATGATTTCGACTACAGCTAGTACTTCTCTCTGGAACGAAACTATAGAAGGGACCTGCATGAGTCATCAGGATAATACAGGGATACGTTATCGATGCACAGGTGGTAACTTATTGTTGCTGCAATCGATACCAACAGATGTCACAGCCATTGAATTTCACGAAGGCCACTTACCGCGGCTACCTTCAGACTCATTCTCAAGATTTATGAATTTACGCGAACTTATTATTCGAAATTCTGGTTTAACCACTGTGGAACAGGGCGCATTTAAGGGTTTACATATGTTAGAAAATCTCACGATTCAGGATAACCCTCTCGAGATGATAGGGTCTTCTTGGTTCGTTCTGGAGCATTTAGAAAGGTTAGATGTGCGCGGTAATTCTGTCAAATATATCGAACCAGGATCGTTTCGCAATTTAAATAGACTCTCTTATCTGAATCTTGAGGGAAACGACTTGAGATGTATTTTCACCAGTGATTTAAACGATATGCCTGATGTGTATATCGTGGAATTCTCTGGGAATCCTCTAAAGTGGAGATGCAGAGTAGAATTAGAGCAATTTTTGGAAGCTAGAAAAATTAGATTTATAAAAATCGAGAATTCCTGCGAAGGGAAAAAGATAATGAGGAATCTTCTTTTACAAAATAAAACCGATGGTACATTCGATTGTCCTTCTGATTGTTCAATGGCTACTGATATTGTTAGACACTTTTCAATCATATCTATACTACCATTGCTGATAACATTGGTTTATTAAGTGGCATTGTATTAAATACTTAACTAAGATACAATGATGTATGTGTTCATTCATTACAAAGCGCGTTTTGCATTGTATCTGTAACCGAATAGAAATTAGGTTAGAATTTATACGCGTTATTAATTTTTTTTACTAATTGAAGAATATTTACGTTGGGGGTGTGTGACGAAATATTGTAACGCAGTGCTTAAACATCTAAGGCACACAAGTTTAATAATTTGTTAGTGATGTTGCTGTCAGGAGAGACTAGCGAGAATCTAAAATTTATACATTTTTAATTTTATTAGATATTTATTAATGTTATTTATGTGCCATATTTTTCGCTGCAAAAAATCTATTTTTTATTTGTAATGATGTATTTATTGGGAAATGTTCGCCAAAAAATTCAATGATCTGACGACTGTTACTGTTTGAGAAAAATAAAAAACTGAACGGAAGCAGCTATGTAAGAAGGATTCAGGCCAGCCAGGCATTAATTGACTTACGCTTAAATAATTAATTAGCAATTGAATAAATAATTTATTGTTAGCAGACATAAC